TTGTAAAAATATAATAATAATTTATTTTATGATTTTTGGTAAATAATAAAATTTATATTTAAGGAAATCTATTACAAATTTAGATTTTAATTTTAATTTTTTATCTATTTAAAATTTAAATTAAAAATATATTATTTTATTAATATTATATATTAAATTGATTTGTTTGGTAACATAATAAATAATAGTTATCCAAAAATAGAATAGTAAAAAATTAAATAAAATCTGTTTGGACACAAAATATGTTTGTGTTTTAAATTTTTAATAGATTAGAAATTTTGGTGAAAATATATAAAAAAATTATTCAGATGCTAAGAAAATCGGATTAGATTTCTAGTATGTACAGTATACGGTATATCTACGGAGTTTTGCGAATTTTCTATTGCTATCTTATCTATCCAAGATTAGAAAATGTCGACAAAGAAAACTAAATATTTTTTTTGTTAAAAAGAAAAAGAAAATAAAGAATAGGAGTCTATCGAACTTATCCACCTTTTAAGATTGAATCAACTCATTTCGTATAATAATATTAATGAGTATAGTCTCTGAGAATATACCACCCTCCGATTCCAATTACCTCTCTCTCTCTCTCTCTCTCTCTCTCTCTCTCTCTCTCTCTCTCTCTCTCTCGTCTCTTCCTTTAGATCGATAGTTTAGAAACGACGGTGACGGAGAACTGCGACGGAGCTAAGTTTCAGACGGTGACCGCCGGTGATTTTTGCTTTCGGTAAGCAGCTTTTGACTTTGTTCCTAACCGTTCACTCTTGGTCTTTTTTTTTTTTTTAATTTTACTTTCCCTCTTCTGATCTTTCTTATTAGCTTTTGAATCGCTTGATCCTTTCTTTGTCGGATGGGTTTCTTTCTGATCAAATGGGTTCTGAGGAAACGTGCCCTAGGGATTTAGGATTTTGGATCGGGTTTCTCAAACTGCTTTAAAACTGTGAAATTTGTTTATTTTTCATTTGGGGATTTCAGTGAAAAGATATACTATGATCTGGAAATGAAATAGATTTCACTTCAGGTTCTACACTTGCACTTCCTTTTAGTGATGAAATTGTTGTGCGATATTGAAGCTTGAATTTCTTTGACCATTTGCAATAACATGAAGGATTTGTAAAATTATCATGTGTTTTTTTTTTCCTCATTGATAAGACGAGAAAATACAAAATCTGTGGCTCTGCTCTCATTTTGAATTCAAATAAATTTTACTCCTTGATGATCAGGTCACTTGCTGCAGAATCTTTGTAATCTCCAAAACAGATGGGTTTTTGTAGTTTTTAATGTTAGAAGAAAATGATTAGCATTCATAGCTGATGTTTAAACCCCATTAACCCTGTGAAGACTTTCGATTTTTTTTCTCGTCCATATGGTTATTGTCTTGATTATGACTTTGGTTATGTTTTCGCAGTTCTCATGACTTTTTTTTTAGACATCATTTTCATGAATTAGTAAAACACTGTGTGCAGTTTTCTTGTGAGACTTTTTCAACACTTATTTGTCAGTTTCTTCACATGTGCAAAATTTGTATTCTCTGGCCTTGTGCTCGTGAAACTATACCATTTCCGAGATGAATTGCTCTCAACATATCTCGTTATGTCCCTGACTTGTTTTGTCTCTAGTGTATTTGGCTGATATAGTTTGATTGGTGTGCAGATTCAACCTACTTGGTTTGTTGAGAATGCTAATGAGATGAACTTCTCTTTTTGTAATTCTAGGTATAAAGCATAGTTCCTTGGGATTTCTATTCAGCTTGGGAGTATCTACAGTAATGGGGTCAAAATCATTTGGAAATCTCTTAGACTTGGCCTCTGGGGATCTTTTGGACATTCCTCAGACTCCGAGAGCTCTTCCAAGAGTGATGACTGTTCCTGGAATCATCTCTGACGTAGATGGGTATGGCGTTAGTGATGGTGATTCAGATGGCATCTCATTACCTGGCCGCGAGCGAAAAATCATAGTGGCCAACTTTCTTCCTTTAAATGGTAAAAAGGATTCAGAAACTGGAACGTGGAAATTCAGCCTGGACAATGATTCTCCCCTGTTACATGTGAAGGATGGGTTTTCTCCAGAGACAGAAGTCATTTATGTTGGATCACTCAAGACAGATGTCGATGCAAGTGAGCAAGACGAGATTTCCCAAACACTTTTTGAGGAATTCAATTGCGTACCGACTTTCCTCCCACAAGATGTGCATAAAAAATTCTACCTAGGCTTTTGTAAACAGCAACTATGGCCACTTTTCCACTACATGCTACCCATGTGCCCTGATCATGGTGAACGGTTTGATCGTGGTCTTTGGCAGGCATATGTTTCTGCCAACAAAATATTTGCAGATAAGGTAATGGGTGTGATCAATCTCGAGGAAGATTATATCTGGATTCATGACTATCATTTAATGGTTCTCCCAACATTTTTGAGAAGGCGTTTCCACAGGGTTAAGCTCGGTTTCTTCCTCCACAGTCCATTCCCTTCTTCAGAGATTTATCGAACCTTACCTGTTCGAGAGGAGCTACTAAGGGGGCTCCTAAACTGCGACTTAATTGGTTTCCACACCTTTGATTATGCACGGCATTTTCTGTCATGCTGCTGTAGAATGCTTGGATTGGAGTATGAATCTAAGAGAGGGCATATTGCTCTTGACTACTTGGGCCGTACAGTTTTCCTGAAGATTCTTCCTATAGGTATTCACATGGGAAGACTTGAATCCGTTCTGAATCTTCCTGCTACAGCTGAAAAACTAAAAGAGATTCAAGAAAAGTATCGGGGTAAGAAAGTTATTCTCGGTGTTGACGACATGGATATATTCAAAGGTCTAAGTCTAAAAATTTTGGCCTTTGAACACCTCCTACAGCAATATCCTACCATGCTAGGGAAAATAGTTCTCATTCAGATTGTGAATCCAGCCAGGGGATCAGGTAAAGACGTTCAAGAAGCAAAGAAAGAGACGTATTATACTGTTGAAAGAATCAACGAGCGTTATGGTTCGCCTGGTTATGAGCCAGTGGTTCTGATCGATCGTCCTGTTCCCCGGTTTGAGAAGTCTGCCTATTATGCCATGGCGGAATGCTGCATAGTCAATGCAGTGAGGGATGGGATGAATTTAGTTCCATACAAGTACACTGTTTGTCGTCAAGGAACTCCTAACATGGATAAATCTCTGGGAGTGAGTGATGATTTTCCTCGCACAAGCACGCTTGTTCTGTCTGAGTTCATTGGTTGCTCTCCTTCTTTAAGTGGCGCGATTAGAGTTAATCCTTGGGACGTTGATGCGGTAGCCGATTCAATGTATTCTGCTATCACCATGTCTGATTTCGAGAAGCAGCTACGTCATAAGAAACACTATCACTACATTAGTACACATGATGTGGCATATTGGTCGCGCAGCTTTTCGCAGGATTTGGAAAGAGCCTCTCGAGATCATTACAGTAAACGGTGCTGGGGTGTGGGTTGGGGTTTAAGTTTTAGGCTTGTTGCTCTCTCCCCTAATTTCAGAAGGCTATCTATTGAACAAGCTGTCACTGCGTACAGAAGATCGAGCAAGAGAGCTATATTTCTTGATTATGACGGTACTTTAGTTCCCGAGACCTCCATCGTAAAGGATCCAAGTGCTGAAGTTATGTCTGCGTTGAAGGCACTGTGTAGTGATCCTAATAACACTATATTTATTGTAAGCGGGAGGGGAAAGGTTTCTTTGAGCGAGTGGCTTGCACCGTGTGAGAATCTTGGAATAGCGGCTGAACACGGTTACTTCACAAGGTACATTTACTAGTTGATCGCAAATTCTGATAGTTTTTGTGAAAAAGAAACTTAGAAAAGACAATCTTTGCAATGCAGGTGGAATAAGTCTTCTGAATGGGAAACAAGCGGCTTATCTGATGACCTTGAATGGAAGAAGATCGTGGAACCTATTATGAGACTATATACAGAAACTACCGATGGATCCAATATAGAAGCCAAAGAAAGTGCTTTGGTGTGGCATCACCAAGATGCAGACCCAGACTTTGGTTCTTGTCAAGCCAAGGAACTACTGGACCATCTAGAAACCGTTCTCGTGAACGAACCAGTTGTTGTCAACAGAGGCCACCAAATCGTTGAAGTGAAGCCTCAGGTAAATACGCTTTCTTCACCACTGTTTCATAGTACTGAATCGAAGGAACCCTTAGATTGTCTGGTTTATTCATAGTCGTAAACTGAGATCTTTTGGACTAACAGGGAGTAAGCAAAGGTCTTGTCACCGGGAAAGTTCTTAGCAGAATGGTTGAAGAAGGGAAAGCACCGGATTTTGTGGTATGCATTGGGGACGACAGATCAGACGAGGAGATGTTTGAGAGCATAACAACAACACTCTCGGCTCAATCATCGTCAATGTCTACAGAGATATTCGCGTGCACGGTGGGAAGAAAACCGAGCAAAGCCAAGTACTTCCTCGATGAAGTAAGCGACGTGGTGAAGTTGCTTCAAGGACTTGCAAACACTTCGAGCCCAAAGCCTAGGTACACTTCTCACCTCAGAGTCTCCTTCGAAAGCGTGGTGTGAGTAAAAGAAGAAACCAGGCTTTACCTGAGTTTATTTAGGAATCTGAATCATGAAATTTGTACATAGAAAAACAGGAAAGACAAAAACTTTGATGTTGCAAATTTGAGCCTATGAAAATTAAGGCTTTAGTCAGGTTTTGTACATGTACATAATAAGAATTTACTACTTATCAAGCAAGAGAGGCCTCTTTCCACTATTTTGTATATTGTCTCGTGTATGATTTAGCGGAGTAGGCGTGGGACTGATCATCTTTGAGGAACTTTGCCTTGGAGCTTAAATCTTCTATACGATTCTATGATATAAACTCGATCGAAACAATCAATTTCTAATATATATGAACGTAACCGATGTGGGATAATATTATTTAATATTAAACTGCTGGAAAGAAAAAATAGAGCTCAGATGCAAGGCCAACCAATGTGGGATAATATTATTTAATATTAAACTGCTGGAAAGAAAAAATAGAGCTCAGATGCAAGGCCATATCAGATCCTGGAAATCAGAAGAATGCGAAGGACCCAACCAACGCTAATGCCCAATTCCTCACTGCTCTATCAGCTGCCCAACCAAGGCTTTACCTGAGTTTATTTAGGAATCTGAATCATGAAATTTGTACATAGAAAAACAGGAAAGACAAAAACTTTGATGTTGCAAATTTGAGCCTATGAAAATTAAGGCTTTAGTCAGGTTTTGTACATGTACATAATAAGAATTTACTACTTATCAAGCAAGAGAGGCCTCTTTCCACTATTTTGTATATTGTCTCGTGTATGATTTAGCGGAGTAGGCGTGGGACTGATCATCTTTGAGGAACTTTGCCTTGGAGCTTAAATCTTCTATACGATTCTATGATATAAACTCGATTGAAACAATCAATTTCTAATATATATGAACGTAACCGATGTGGGATAATATTATTTAATATTAAACTGCTGGAAAGAAAAAATAGAGCTCAGATGCAAGGCCAACCAATGTGGGATAATATTATTTAATATTAAACTGCTGGAAAGAAAAAATAGAACTCAGATGCAAGGCCATATCAGATCCTGGAAATCAGAAGAATGCGAAGAATTAAGGCTTTAGTCAGGTTTTGTACATGTACATAATAAGAATTTACTACTTATCAAGCAAGAGAGGCCTCTTTCCACTATTTTGTATATTGTCTCGTGTATGATTTAGCGGAGTAGGCGTGGGACTGATCATCTTTGAAGAACTTTGCCTTGGAGCTTAAATCTTCTATACGATTCTATGATATAAACTCGATCGAAACAATCAATTTCTAATATATATGAACGTAACCGATGTGGGATAATATTATTTAATATTAAACTGCTGGAAAGAAAAAATAGAGCTCAGATGCAAGGCCAACCAATGTGGGATAATATTATTTAATATTAAACTGCTGGAAAGAAAAAATAGAGCTCAGATGCAAGGCCATATCAGATCCTGGAAATCAGAAGAATGCGAAGGACCCAACCAACGCTAATGCCCAATTCCTCACTGCTCTATCAGCTGCACCAGCCGGAAATCGAACCCGGGTCTGTACCGTGGCAGGGTACTATTCTACCACTAGACCACTGGTGCTTTTTGTTTATTTGCCTTTTAAGTTTATTATATATTCTTTTGACTTGTGAAAGAGGACAATAAACTTATATATTCTTTTGACTTGTGAAAGAGGACAATAAATATATTTTTCTCTCGCGTTGCACAGCTACAATTTCTCACCAATTTCAAGCCGGAATAATTAACCGGAACCTGTTTCGACGGTGAATCCGAGGTAAAATAACCCATCGATTAATCGATTTTCTCTCTAGCTTAGGCAGTGTTCGAAGATGGCTTATAGAGGAGGAGGCCGAGGAAGAGGACGAGGAAGAGGAGGGTTTGGAGGCAGTGGTGCTGAGTATGCCAAGGCAGAGCCTTTTGTGATTTTCCCTGTAAGTACAAATTTTAGATTTTTTTTTTTTTCCCGTGAAAAATTGATTTTGGCTGTGTTGAGCTTATGTTATGATGATTCCTCTTCAATAGCAGATTCTGTGTTTTTTTTTTTGTGTGTGCAGGAAATTAAGTTACCTGATCCGAAATCTATCTCACACGACCCGCAATTACTTTCGAGCTTCTTTAGTTTTCAGAAGTTTTGGAGAAACTCTCCTTATCATTTAGGCGATGGTGTTTCAAAAAAAGGTATCTATCTGCATAAAGACCTCTTAGGCATTTTGCAATCTTAAAGCTATGATCTTTCTCAAGTTTTATGAATTTTCTTTTCTACAATCATCAGAGAATGAGAATCTAAAAACTCTCTTAGACACTTAGTAATCTTAAAGCTATGATCTTTCTCAAAGTTTTATGTCTTTTCTTTTCTATATCATCAGAGAATGCGAGTTTAAAAACTCTCTTAGACACTTTGTAATCTTTTGAACAAAAAAAAGACACTTTGTAATCTTAAAGCTATGATCTTTCCCAAGTTTTATGTCTTTTCTTTACTAGAATCATCAGAGAATGAGAATTTAGAAACTCTCTTAGAGACTTAGTAATCTTAAAGCTATGATCTTTCTCAAGTTTTATGTTTTTTTGTTTCTTTTCTGTAATCATCAGAGAAGGAGAGTTTAGACATTGAGAGGTATTCAGACTCTTTGAAGCCAAAGAAGAAGTCTAATAAGAGTGGATCTTTTTATGATTTCCTTGTTCTTAGACCTGATAACTTCCCTAAAGAACTTCTTGGAGGTTTGGAATTATCATCTCAACACATTTGTATTTTTTGTGAGGTTAGATTCTTCTAGTAGTCACTGAGATTCTTGAGTATATGCAATTTCAGATACTCGAAGAGAACGGCCTGTGAAGAGAGCAAAATGGACTCAAGACGCAGGTACATTGTTTTATTTAGTTTCTAGCCTTTCAACAACGATGTTACAAGAAACTCAAGCTTGTGTTTCATTTGACAGATTTGCAGAAACTGGATGTGTTTGAGAAGCTTGAAGCAAAATATAAGGTAACAAAAACAAAAAACATTGGTTTTTTCTCTTCACATATAACCAACAAAAGGAGCACACAATAAGTCAAATTTTGATTTATTGTTTGGTTAGGCTGAAGGCAAGGAAGACAATGAAGAAGGAGAAGATGATGATCAAGTTGCGGAATCAGAGGGAGAAGAGTCTGATAACGGAGATTATGATCAGGTTCTGCTTATTTTCCAACTAATGGCGATATGAAACCTGTGAATCTTCTTATCAAGTTACTTGAAAACTTTTTTTTTTTGTTTTTTAATGTTTTGTAGAATCAAGACTTTGATGATGATGATGACGATTATAACCAGGCGGATGATGGTGATTGTAAGCATCATCTCTACTCTCTGTCTCTTTACGATCGATTACTATACTTTGAAATGATTCTAACTAACTTTGTTTCTCTCTCTCTCTTTTTTTTTGTTGCTATTAGATGAAGAAGTGTATTAGGCTTCTTCTTCCCAAAAAGATCAAGTTTTGCAGACAAGAGAAGCTAGGCATGTCCCAAGCTTTATGTTTTAGAGATAAAAAAAGCTATAGTTTTAGAGACCAGTCAAAGGCGAAAACTCAATTATGTTTTTAGACAAATCATGTCTTTGTTGGTTATTGTGATAAAATATTGAAGATTTTCTTTTTTTGGTTAAAGTAATATTGGGGATTGTTTTATTGCTTCCAGTCACTTTTCTGATTTTAACAAAATGTTATGTGGTAAAGTTATTAGTTTTTTTTCTTCTTCTGCACAATACACGATTGAAGCCAGCAAGAATGATTATTACTTCAATCTCACAATCGGAACTCATAGTTAGACGAAAGGAGTGGAGTGGAAATATTCTAAAAACTTTTAAAGTAAAGGTCCTTTTTACACAAAAAGAGAGCTCAGAAACATGGCCATATCTCATCCGAAGAATCAGAGTAATGCGAAGGACCCAACCATCGCTAAAGGCAAATCCTCATAGCTCACTGCACCAGCCGGGAATCGAACCCGGGTCTGTACCGTGGCAGGGTACTATTCTACCACTAGACCACTGGTGCTTCTTGGGTAACTATCATTTAGTTTATATTTATATATATATAAAATTTGCAAGCATCCGTGATAAATGATGACTAACCGTCTAACATGTTTATTGATAACATCAGTGATAACTTCAGAATCTTGCTGAAATAAACATGTTTTCTCACATTTTTTTTGGTTTGTTTTTGTGTGGTTTGTCTTGCACAGCTTTTATAATTCGTTGAAAGGTTTGTTTTTTCAGTTTTTGCGCATTGAGGGTCAGTTTGCAATAACTAGTTATTCTGAGAGTCTCTTTGAAAATATTCCTTAATACTAAATTGTTAAAGACGACGGCTTTTTTCAAACCCTTCGCCGCCGTTTGTTCATCCTCCTCGCCGCTACGTTCTCTCACTCAAAATCGTACATCCTAATAATTCTGAAGTAAGCTTCTTTGATTTCCTCTTAGAGCAATAGCATTCCTTGTGGTTTCCTTTCTAAAGTTTTAAGTTTTATCTTTGTTGTTGCCTCTTCTGAGGTTTCTATCGATATTTGATAAACCCTAGAGGTTTAACCTAAGATTAGTCAGTTATTCATCAGAATTATTCGCAATGTTTAAAAAAAAAACCGAACTTTGCTGCAGAGAAGTATTTCAACAGCGATAATCTATTCTGTGTATCCTCCCATCGTAGCACATTTGAGCAAATATGAATTTGATGATTCGATTATTCTTGTCTTATTTCGTGACAGAAGCTGAAAGCAAAACAATGGGATTACCAGATTCATCTCAAGACTTGTCATCAGAGATGGAAGTTGATGCTTTTAGAAAGATCTTTCCTCTTCGTTTCTTCGAGCGTCATCTCTCTGAATCTCTCCGACCTGATGGTAGACCTCTTGGAAAAGCCAGAGACACCATTGTTAACCTTGGTATGTTGATTCTTTTCTTTCATCATAGCCAGTCAATGAAACAGTTTCACTTGATTGTCGTTCTCTTGTTGTATAGGACTTGTTTCTTCTGCCGATGGATCTGCTCTTGCCAAGATTGGCTACACAGTAAGTAACCCAACGATTTCGTTGTTTCACATTCTCAGAGCAGTGTTACTTTGTTCCCATGTTTACCTTACATTGTTTCTTTTTGACAGACTATGCTTGCTGCTATTAGAATGGAAGTTATGACCCCTTCTACAGATTCACCAGACGAAGGATGCATAGGTTGTTTGTTGCCTCTACCTTATCTTTGTCTCTTTATTTGTGGTTTTGTTCTTCTTCTTTAGTGTTTCATGTGTGACTGATCGATTCTATTTTGCTTTTAGCTGTTGAATTCCACATGCCTCCTATATGTTCTCCAACTGTTCGGCCTGGAAGACCAGCTGATGCTGCTCCGGTTATTTCAAAGCGTTTGTTGGATACTATTTCAAGGTGCTTCAGTTTGAATCTTTCTACCTTATGCTTCCTCATTCACTTACATCTTTGTGCCCTTATCATTGTGGTTTGAGAGAATGTTTATTTCCCTTTATTTGCAGTTGTAATATGATTGATCTTAAAGAACTGTGCCTAGTTAGTGGTAAAGCTGCTTGGATGGGGTATCTTGTGAGTACACGTCGCTTTTATATCGTGCTCCCCGGTTTATTGATTCTTATACTCTTACATAGTATCCTAGTGATTGTGTTTTCATCACCATATAAATATTGCTGCTCTCTGAAACTTCTTGTAGGACATTTATTGTCTGGATGCTGATGGTGCTCTTTTTGATGCTGCTCTGCTTTCTGCTGTTGCAGCCTTTTCGAATTGTAAGCTCTTCTTCGATCTCATCCTTTAGTTGATTGCATAGCTCTTCTAAAACGCCTTTGACTCAAGCCGTTTCCTAAGCTCCGACTGAAAGTTTGAAATTTTAAGGTTATCAATTTACTTTTCGAATCTGCAGTGAAGAGCAAGCAGCCATATAAAGCCCTTAGCTAGTAACCGATATGACATTATCTATCTGTAGAAAGCCCTTATCTTTTTACTGAGTCAATACCAAAGTTACTTTCTTCTCAGCACAATACTGGTTTATATTCAGGCCAATGTCTTCCTCTGATGCATAAGAGATGTTTATATTGCAGTGCAAATTCCAGTTGTTGCTCTGAACGACAATGGAAGAATAGTTGCCATCACTGGTGAAGAAAAGCAAGACAATGCATCAATCACTGAGAAGGAAGCAGTGAACAAGGAGAGGAGAAAACTCACGCTTAAGAACATCCCTTTCTCTTTAACTTGCATACTCCACAAGAACTACATTTTAGCAGACCCAACAGCTGAAGAAGAATCGATCATGGACACTCTCGTGACTGTTGTTTTAGACTCCTCAGATCAGATTGTTTCTTTCAATAAATCAGGAGGAAACGCTCTCGCTCATACATCAGCCATCAAGGTGAGAAGTTTCAGCATTCTCTTAAATTAATCCATGGCTTTGATTACACCAGTATTTTCTTATGTAGTTGCCTTGCTGGTTCTTTTTTATTTTCGCAGAGCTGTGTTGAGTTAGCAAAGAAGAGAGGAAATGAGCTTAAGCAGATATTGGGAGAGATGGATGTTGACTGATTAAATCATATGGAAATGTGAATCATTCCATTAACATTATGAAATTTTGTGAGTTACATAATTTAATTAGAGACCCACCAAGAACCGGTCTATTGCTAAACCGGTATGACCAGAGAAAGCTCTTCACCATTTTTGTTTCAATGTGTCACGGTTTTGGTGATCATATGACGAGGTTTTGATGGAAGTTGTAAGTGTGCGAGTATATTTGCCCTCCATTTCAGATTAATTTAGGTAAACCGATTGGTATAACAAATACTCAAATTAAATAAACCGATTGGTTAAACAAATGCAAACTGAGATTGTCGTTGAACAAAACTGCTGAATCAGTCGGAGGCTTTTAGTTTCCATCTTCTGAAATCTCTGAATCAAACGGAAGAAAAAAAATACACACTCTCTCTCTCTCTTTTCATTTTTTTTTTCATCTTTTCATCGATAGTGGAAGAGATCAAGTGAAAGCAAAATTCTCAGATCCGATTCGGAGTAATCCATCTTTCTCCGTCGTTCTCTATGGATATTCAGAGCTCCTTAGATCTATGATTTTTCAAATCTGTTGATCCATTTCTCGCGCCAATCTTCAATCTCTTTTCGTCACGGATCTGATTTTCAGCTTCGGACCTCTTGGGAGTCGATACAATCATGAATCCCTTCTTCTCCGGCACGCGTCTCAGGTAAGGAATCAGTTGCTCCGATCTCCATTTGCTAGTTATTGAGACTATGCGATACTTCCATTGTTGCCTAATTTGCCTTCTTAGTTTCCGTAAACAGTAAGGTAGCTTGATTCTTCTAGTTTACTGGGAAATGTCATTTTCTCCGCCATCTAATTGGAAAGTGAAGTTGATCGGAAAATTTATAGGTTGATTTATTATAGCAATTTTTTTTTCCAAAGGGAGATTTCGGGGTGGGAGAATCCTCGTATCCACGTATTATTTTGCATTTGTTAAACTTATCAGTGTGTTTGATTATAAGTGTATGCTTCAATTTCAAGTAAAACCGTGGAAATTGAGATCAAACATAATATGGGGACATATCCTTTGACAAGGTTTCATGAAGATAATCCTGGGAGGATAAGTTATAATGTCGTGTATATGGTGGATCACACATTTGAGCCCTTAGAAGATAGAGAAGCATAGTTTATAGTGACTAGATAAAAGAGTGTTACTAGGCATCAAGTGAAATTTGCGGAAGGTGAAGAGCATGTTTATTAAACTGAGAAAGGGATGTTTTTTTCGTAATTTTTTGAAGAATATGTTTTGACATCGGTTATTCAATTATGGTATCTTTGTGGAACGTACACAATTGTAGATGATTGTATGTCCTTTGTATTCTGTACCTGTTGACCTGTCACAATTCTCAGCCTTTGTTTTAGGTTATTCAAGGTAGCTTGTACTAGTGTTACAGTAATATATCGTACTCAAGCTATACATGGCTTTGACCATTTATAAATTGACAGTATATATATGAATTCGGCATTTATGGACATTTTATTTTGCAGCGACATGATTCGGGCTATACGTGCAAGTAAAACCGCCGCTGAGGAACGTGCTGTTGTAAGGAAAGAATGTGCTGCTATTCGTGCTTCAATTAATGAAAATGACCAGGACTACAGACACCGGGATCTAGCAAAGCTCATGTTTATTCACATGCTTGGTTACCCCACTCATTTTGGACAGATGGAATGCCTGAAATTAATTGCTTCTCCGGGGTTTCCAGAGAAGAGAATTGGCTATCTAGGTTTAATGTTGCTTCTTGACGAAAGGCAAGAAGTATTAATGCTGGTCACCAACTCGCTTAAGCAGTATCCTTTATAGTGTAAATTTTTTAATTTGCTTCCTTAGTAGCATTTTAGATTTTTGGCAGCTTGTACTAAATTTTTGTCTCCCCTTGTGAGAACCTTGACTCATGTTTAGAGACCTGAATCATACCAACCAATACATTGTGGGGCTTGCTCTTTGTGCTTTAGGAAATATATGTTCAGCAGAAATGGCTCGTGATCTAGCACCTGAAGTTGAAAGATTACTTCAATTTCGTGATCCAAATATACGCAAGAAAGTGAGTATTTCCTCGTCCTGTCATTGTAACCATTCAGATAAGGAGTGTCTTCTTAGTGGGGTTTAGAGGTGGAAATGTTGAATAGCTAGGCTAACGTGCGTGTATTAACCAAATGAAGGCTGTACTTAGAGAGCTGTATATTTAGTTTCTCGAAACTTCACTTTACTTCTGTCATTCTTTTTTATATCCGTAGAAAAATACTCTATCCTGAAGTTTTCATTCATTATCTTTTTTTTTTGTTTATTTAGGCAGCTCTTTGCGCCATACGGATCATCAGAAAAGTTCCGGATCTTTCTGAGAACTTTACTAATCGTGCCGCTGCTTTACTCAAAGAAAAGCATCATGGTGTTCTCATTACGGGAGTTCACCTTTGTACCGAAATCTGTACAGTCAGTCCTGAAGCCCTTGAATATTTCCGGAAGGTAATCTACTAATAGCCTACAAAACTGGTTAAAGGAATATTAGGATGCCTGATGTGCTGTAGTATCTTTGTTGAAAAAAGCGCCTCTGTGTCTGTTTATTAGACTTCTCTTCGCAAATTTCTCATGGTTCCATGATTTCTGTAGCTGGAATCTATAGTATCCCTGCATTCTCCATTATGTCTCTTTAGATTCATGATCTTCTTGGGAGCCATGCATATATTTTGCTTGTATGCTGAACTGATTTGAATATTTTCAATCTTTGTTCTTTTTGTCATGGTGGAAAATTTTCTGTTTCTTTTTCTGATTGACAGAAATGCACAGAGGGTTTGGTTAAAACCCTGAGGGATATTGCAAACAGTCCATATTCACCCGAGTATGACGTAGCTGGAATTACTGATCCATTTCTTCACATCAGATTGCTCAAACTGTTGCGTATTTTGGGCCAAGGGGATGCAGAGGCCAGTGACTGTATGAATGATATACTTGCTCAGGTTTGTGTGTGCTTAGTCTGTCGAAATTTTTTTCAAGGCTTATGTTGTCCTGAATGACTGCTATGTTCGTGGTCCTCTATTTGTCTATCAAAAAGTTTTTTTCTTTTTTTTAAATCTTTTCATATTTGCTAGTTCTTTCTGATTTCCAAGATTAATTAAATAATTCCACAAAACTACATCTGAAACAACGGTTACAAATGAAGCCGTTTTCACACCTTATGGGTTTGGTTACACAGATCTATTGTTACATTTTCTTAGAAAAGGTTTTGATCTATATTAGTCAGGGTCATTATCACATATATAGATATATAATTATTCTTCACTTCCAACTTGATTTGTAATGTCATAGGTGGCATCGAAGACCGAGTCAAACAAAAATGCAGGCAATGCTATCCTATATGAATGCGTTCAAACGATAATGAGCATCGAAGAAAATGGTGGCTTACGTGTCCTTGCAATCAATATCTTGGGGAAATTTTTGTCCAACCGAGATAATAACATCAGGTTTTTATCGAGTACCACTCGTTATTGAGTTTTCTGTAACATTATCTCTAATATATAAGCATTCATCTACAGTAGTCTTCCCACTTTTGTTTGCAGTGAATTGCTTTTTCTTTTTTCTTTTTTTGGGTCTACTTGAAGGAGTAGCTGTTTTTAAAGATAAAAGAAACCAAACCTGACATGTTTTGGCAGTTGTGTATGGATGGAATTATTGTATGTTGAAGACATTTTGTGACAAGTGATAACACACTTCATCTGATGCCTATATCACCTCTACACTGACTACTTCCGAAAAATAAACCTGAGCTTTGCTTTCTCAGATATGTAGCATTAAACATGCTGATGAGAGCCTTAACAGTTGATTCCCAAGCGGTTCAGAGACACAGAGCTACAATACTGGAGTGTGTTAAGGTATTTAATGTGGTGTTACTGTTTGTTTCCTTGTTGGGTCTATCTAATTGAATTAGCAGCGTATTTTGTTTCCACTCTTTTACTGGTCCTGGAATGAAACTTATTCCTCAGGGCTAAAATATGTTTCCCGGCTTGGTTTCACAGTATAGTGACTGTATCTGTTTTTTTTCTTCCCTCTTTTAACATTTAGGCATCCAATTCTACTTATTCTGAGATTACTCTTTATTAAAATCGAAGTGTTCTTTGATATCTTAGGATTCAGATGCCTCCATCCAGAAAAGGGCACTTGAACTTATATACCTTCTGGTGAATGAGAATAACGTGAAACCACTAGCAAAGGAACTAATAGACTATTTAGAAGTAAGCGAACAAGATTTCAAGGGAGATCTTACTGCAAAGATATGTTCCATCGTCGAAAAGTAAGTTGCACAACTTTTACTAGAATTCTTCTACAGGATAGTAACTGAACATTTAAATCTGTAACAAAGATGTGTTTCTTTCTCAACCAAAAGTAATCTATAAATTTTATTAGAATGCTGGCCTGGATGAATGGTGTAATTCAGACGTGATTAATTATTTAAGGTACTAACTGTTGGTATTTCCTTGCTGACTAGGTTTGCTCCAGAGAAAATCTGGTACATTGATCAAATGCTTAAGGTTCTATCTGAGGTATATTTTTAACCCAGGTAGTGGGATTACGTTTTTTATACACTTTTTGGCACCAGTGGACATGCGGATTTCTTTAATTAATAATTTTTTTTCTTACGAAATAAGTTGGTCTTATTCTAATTTGATTATGTTCATAACAGGCTGGAAATTATGTGAAAGAGGATGTATGGCACGCGCTGATTGTTGTAATAACAAATGCCCCTGATCTCCATGGGTACGCTGTCAGGGCTTTGTACAGAGCATTGCTTAGGTCTTCTGAACAGGTAGATGCATTTTTCTTTAGTCAGACATTTCCCAAATTTGAATATCATGTATTTAAGGAGTAAGAGGTTCATTATGATGTGGGACAGGAAACTCTTGTGCGGGTTGCTATTTGGTGCATTGGAGAATATGCTGATCTGTTGGTTAACAATGCTGGAATGCTTGAACTAGAAGATCCAATCACGGTGAGTACCATCATCTTGCACTAAGGGGTTTATTGTTGTCACTGATATTAGAGGTGACAGTTATGGCATTCAATTCTTGATTGATTTTTTTTGTTTGTTTGTTTTGGTAACATTTTTCTGCTTCGCTAATTTGCTCGTACTTCTGGTTGATAAAAAGTACAGAAAACGGACGTTGATCAAAAATAAAATAAAAGGGAGTTTTTTTTTCCCTATTT